GGTCCGCCCGCCCAGCCTCCCCTCATCGGGGCCTCTCCCTGCTTGGGGTACAGCACGTGCTGCCCTCCGCTCTCCGCTCTGACACTTACTGGCCCAACAGGACCCGCCTGTGGTGACGGGTGGGGTGCCCCTCTGGAGACATGCGGCCCGTGCAGGAGCCTGGGGCAGGAAGGTCTCCTCGTGGCCCTGCTCCAGATCCTGCCGTTGGAGGCTTGGTTAGGCCCAGGCACCCCCGGCCCTCCCTCTGCAGCCACCTGCACACATGTCCTTGGGCCTCCGAGCCACGGTCTGTGCCCAGGCGACCTCAGACCGTGCTTCGCCCACGGCGTCCAAAGCCCAGCCCGTGTAGGTCCCGGGGCAGCCTTTCCCGGCCCTCCCGGCACTGCGCCCCCGCTGAGTGGTGTGAGGGGCAGGCCCACGCCGTCTCGAGCGCCTACCCTCTTCCTACGCCTGCAGCTTACGCTCTGGCCCGGGTCTACGGGGTTGAGAGTGACCTCTCAGAGGTGGCCCGTCGGGGCTCGGGCAGGGCCTGCCGCAGCCTGTATGGGGGCTTCGTGGAGTGGCAGATGGGGCAGCAGGCTGATGGGAAGGACAGCGTCGCCCGGCAGGTGGCCCCTGAGTCGCACTGGCCTGAACTACGCGTGCTCATCCTCGTGGTGAGTGGGACGGGCCTTTCGTCCGACTGTCACTGGGCTGTGGGCTGGCGGGGCGCATGAGAGACCCCAGTGGGAGTCCTGGCCGCCAGGTATCTGCCCTGGCCAGAGCCCCAATGCCGCCATGTGGCGCAGCTGGGACAGGGCCCGGCTCAGCTGTGTCCTGGCACAGGTGAGCGCCGAGAGGAAGCCGACGGGCAGTACGGCTGGCATGCGGACCAGTGTGGAGACCAGTCCCCTGCTCAGGGTAAGGGGGGTGCCGCGGGGTGCCACGGGGCAGCGAGCCGGCGTGGGCTGCAGCATGGCCTCTGCCCTGCAGTTCCGGGCCGAATCGGTGGTGCCGGCGCGCATGGCGGAGATGATCCACTGCATTCGGGAGCGCGACTTCCCGGGCTTCGCCCAGCTGACCATGCGGGACAGCAACCAGTTCCACGCCACGTGCCTGGACACCTTCCCACCCATCTCCTACCTCAGCGACACCTCCCGGCGCATCATGCACCTGGTGCACTGCTTCAACGCCCACCACGGCCAGACCAAGGTGCTGTGGCAGGTGCGGGTGGGG